TTCCAGGATTGAATCCAAACATCTGTCTTTTTGTGTCGTGGAATTGGTTGACGGCCGGAGTGGACTAAGCAGCTGACTGACAAGACTACTCGCTCAGTGCAGTATATCGTAGTTGCTGACAGGAAGTCGCGCAACCGCCTCTCATGAAACCAGTATCACGTCCTGGGTATCGATTTATAACGTGTCGCATTTCGCGGTGAGGAGTTGTTTGCCGTACCAAACCCTGTCGAATCCCCAGCTTGGAGGACCACCCGTTGTCGGCCATCCTCGACTGGTCACTCAGTTTATTCGCAGCTGCTGACACAAAATCTGATGCCTTTAAGTGATGTAAATCGAAGAGACGTTTGTTACGCTATCCACGTTGACCATTCGTAATTGGAGTAACGCACGAATGAAGTGTGAAATATTAAATAATTTTATTTGGTCAGGTAAATCTCGTACTGTCGGATCGGTGTACGTGAAATTAAGCGCAACTGACTTACTCACTGACGACTTTGTACTCTGCTCAGAGGGGCCAGTTCCTTGTACGAAACGAAGACCACGCGAGGTAGCGCCTTCTGGCAATGGTACTAGGAAAACCGGGGTGGCAGATGAATCTGAATTCCCCCAAACCCTATTTCCGTAACTTCCATTTTAATATTATCCTCCTTTCTACACCGAGGCCTTCTGAGTGGTCTTGACGATTCCCAGTCATTTTCTTTCTGCATTCTCATCATCATTTCTGTCACTCAACATTTCCCTCCAACATTTTTCTGAGTTTTGATGTCTGCTTTGCTTTAGAGCAGTTTAATCGTTGCAGAAACGAATGCAAGAGAGGTCCTGCGACCCGTTGAGCTGAAATAAGACCGATCACCTTACAAGTATAGCAGTTGTCCTCGGGACTGTCTAGCCGGTGTCGCCACGAGATGGCCACGTCGTAACCGAATAGACGCTGCAAATCTGTAACAAAGTCGTGGTCGGTTGTAAGCCAGCTGGCTTGCTGAGGGCTCATAGAAACTACGAAACAAGGTTGTTAAAATAACGCCTTACCCGCCGGGTTGACCTTGAGTGCGGGTCCGAAGGACGACGGGGACCAGGCGTGGTCCCCAGGAAAGTTCAGGGTTCACAGCCACAGTCGCCGGAAACAGAAACTGCATTCTGCAGGAATGAAACAATTTCCTGCAGCGAAACGCTTTTCTGGGTCCGTGAATCAGTGATCTGTTTCAGGGAGAACTATTTGGGGGCGAGTGGCGAAGAGAAATGATTTTGTTCAATATCCAGAATGGTTTCTGATTTCGATTACTGTTTGTCAGGTATCAGACGGGAAATATAATTCACTTGTCAAGTGTTTTAACATTTTGGGCTTTTTCGGGCAATTGTTTTTGTTTGTTTTTTTCGGAAAAGACGAAGTTATTTGCATTTGCGGTCATCTTATGCTCGTGACACAATCGGGTTTCTGAAACAAATCCCACAGACCTGAAGATAAATTTCGGGCTCTGGTTGAGACGGGCCAAAAGGTCGTAGGGTCGTCTCATGCAGAAATCTACTTCCGTTCTTCTGCTACTCCCAGCAGACGTAAAATTAGGAACCTGGTACATTCGGGAGATCCGTACAACAATTTTCCCGCCGCCGAATTTTAATAAGACTAATGAAATAAGGAACATGCACTGGAGAGATGCATTCAACATTTCAATTTGAAAAAATTTAAAGTTCATCTCTGCGCAGATAAAGAATTATATTAAAATAGACAGAAAGGGAATAAGTTGTGAATGTGTGGAGTGGATTAATCTGGCTTAGGATAGAAACCGGTGCGAACCTGCCGGTTCCATAAACGGCGAGTAGTTCTGACTTGGCGACTGCGCAAATCCCATACCGGCGGGTGGTGTATGTTATGAACCACACGGGAATTTGTTTGCGAACACCCGGTGGCGAGCTGACGCTGCATTATGCAGTCGCCATTTGCCTCGCTCTGCCTTTCCCTTTTAAAATGTTGCAGCCTTTCAAATGCTACGACGGAGGTGAAAGGCAAATTGGACTGTAGTTACACGATGTAGCCTCGCTATCGCCAGCAGTTGATTCGTCGGCCGCTAAGAAGTGTTACGTTTCTTGGCTTGGAATAGAATGTTGAGGGACTGAAAAACAGAATTTGTTTTCTGTCGAGTGCAACTACGGAGTTGCTGATTCCACTAAAATTTGGCTGCCGAGTTTAATTTTCGTTCGTGTGATAATCCTCTGAGTGAGGGAGTCACCCGGACGGACACCCTGAGTAGATGCTGATTGACCCTCCACAAAACTTTTATCGGTAGTAAACGTCGAAAACAAAGAATACGATTGAAGGCGTGTGAATAGATAAGAGTTATGTAGGATTCGAGGTTTTCACGGCGGTGAGTCTAAAGATGACTGTCGTCTGGTTCGTTGCACCGTGCAGTCCGGTGGCAGTTTACCGACTGTTCAGATTTGCTTTCCGCCATCATCAGGGCTATCCTCTAAAACGTCGGTGGGATTCTACTACGCAACATGGTGCATCAACCCAGAAGATAGCCGTCTTCGTGTTCGCAGTTATTTTAAGCGAATAATAAATGCAAGTCCTGGCGTTAGTTTTCTTACTCAAGTTGTGATCGCCGTTGAGGAATGGGGGTTCTGCAGCCGCACTTCGTTGGTGTAGCACGAAAGACGAGAAGTGAGCGAGCAGGTCTGAGTTTCGCTCTGATCCTGTTTTCTCGTTGCCCCAAACAAATTGGAAGACGAGCGGGTGGCCTTGGGGTAGCAAAATGCTGATGGTTTGTAAACGCCAGTTGTTTGCGTGGCCTACTCTCTCTCTCTCTTAGACTCAGGTTTTCGTTAAGGAAGTCTGTGAGTCGGTGGTCTGCCTGCCCCGTGCGAATAGTTTTCCTCAGGGCACAAACTCGACTGGCAATTGCAGGACCAAATTGCTCCAGTTACAGCAGATTTCGTGACTACGCCTGCACGCTCCGCTGCCCGCGTGTCGTAATAGCGAAAGTCTGGCGGCAGCTGCGATACGGGCTGGTCTCTATTCAGGATGTCCATGCCACAAGGAAGTGGCTGCCACTTGTTCAGGGGAATCTGCAACCCTTGCTACCTCCCACGAATGTTTCGAGATCTCTTTGAACATGAAGACGGAAAGAAAGTGCCCGCGTCCCTGCAGGTTAATGGTGAAGCCACACGTGGATTGATTATGAATGAATAGACCAGTGTCTGGAAGGAGTTGTTCCTTGCAGGAACTGATTGAAACAACGAGAAAACTCGGTCACGCGCTAGCAGTGAGACACATTTCGATGCGACCCCTCTGCTTGGGGCAGGGTTGTTACCCTGGCAACATCAAGTGGACGATGCTGTATCATCAGCGATGTTTTTTCTGGGTTCAGCGGAGCGACGCTGTTTCGATAGTCCAGTCTCGTGTCAGGGTCTGATCCTGAGATATTTCGAGGTTTGCCTCAGTTCCGGATACGGTACAACTTTGATTCCACAGGCCAGTGCTGTCGTGTTACGTGGCCTCCATATTCGACCCCGTGACCTCGGGCTGCCTTTCGACTCGATACGCAATCGCTGACTTGTACGATTCGTTCGTCTCGCTCTCTTGCACATGCGCCGTGGTAAATCACGATGGAAAATTGTTCCTTCGGCCCATTTTCGTTTGTGGTGTGGTGGTTGGTCACAGGCCCTTCAAGCATGTTTGGAAAACATGTCGGAATGCACGAAACAGTGATGGCTGTCATACGCTCTGGCAGAAGGACCCAAAGGTAAACAAACAGCTGTCATTGGACACATCTTGATCCGGTTCCACCCACCTCCCTTCCTCGTAACTTGTTTCCCAAATCTTATAAAGTCTTATAAACTTCATAGGTCAAATTATCCTCATCAGGAGCACTGATTGTATCAACTGCCAGGTTACTAATAGGTCATCAACGTATACCCCACTGAACCGGACGAAATGACACCCGATCGATAGCGAGCACAAAGAAAAATTCTGGAGACTTTTCATTTGTGGATTACATGCTCAAAATTGGCGCCGTTATGTCGTGCAAGTTCACATATTTCTAGAGATCACGATTTTTGAAACTGTAACTTGGTTTCTGAGCCTTGGGGAAGAATGTGGATTGAGGGTGTCTGGGGTCAGAGTTCAGAGGAGAATATTTGGACCTGAGAGAGAGTAATAGAGGATGGAGAAAATTGTAGTCGACAAGCTTCATAATTTGCATTCTTTACCAAATATTATGAGGGAATGTGATACGACGTGTAGCAAACATGGATGAGGTAGACAGAAGCATACAAAATATTAGTCTGAAAGAGACTACTCGGTATACCCAGGCATAGATGAGAGGATAATGTAAAATAATATGTGTAGGTGGGTACTGGATCAGTTTCTCTAAGAGCAAAGATCGACTGTATGTACACATTGGTTGTTGAATTATTATGTCAGTAGCTGTTTGTTCTTGTCTCAAGGACTCTGCAACATTGATAATACACACTTGTACATAACAAACAAAGTAACAGACTGGAATTTAAAAGTCCACTACCAAAAATTTAGGTTCAGGTTTTGAATTGTGTAGTGACCTGCATGTTTTATCTGTGTCACAAATTTTAAGCTTGGTGCTATGACAAGGAAACAACATAAGTTTTTTGGTGAAGGGTTGTTAGCCCCACGCCCAAACCCAAGCTGGAGGACCACCCCCTGTCGGCTGTCCGCGACTGCTTATTCAACATACTCACATCTACCCACCATATCTGGAGGCCTTCTCCTCCATCCACGACCTGAGGACGTGCCATGTTGTGGTGACAAGGGTCCCACGTAACATGTTCTGTATGATACATGTATTCTCTCCAACATATTAACATAATAAGCGCATAAAAGTACTTGATTTTCTTGAACTCTTCTTCTCAGTTAAATAATGTCGATCAGTCTTAGTTTCGTTCTACGTGGATTGTACTCTCGTCGCGTTCGTACACTCGACACAAGATTTTGCCGTTGAATAATCAGATGTCCTCTTTGGCCATTGCAGAGGGCCGTGTGGAGGTGTCGCGGGAGAACAAGTACCTCAGCACCCTCGCTCCCGGTAAGGTGTTTGGTGAGCTGGCTATTCTGTACAACTGCAAGAGGACAGCCACCATCAAGGGTAAGTGCATACTCTGCGTACTATCAGAGTGAGTCCTGCAGTTTGCACCCAGAAGATCACATTGTGCCTGTTGTGTTGGCCATCATGAGGCTGAAGGCTGCGGTCTGTTTCGCTGACTGTGTGTTGCGCATGTTACAGCTGCCACGGACTGTAAGCTATGGGCCATCGAGCGCCAGTGCTTCCAGACCATCATGATGCGCACTGGCCTCATCCGTCAAGCAGAATACACGGACTTCCTTAAGAGGTTGGTTCAGTGACTTGTCCCTACGTTGGGCCCACCCGGTGAATCCAGGAGGATAAAGTTGGACACTTCCATATGCCGTCCATTCCTCCTACATACATGTCTTTGCAGATTACTTGAAGATGAAGCTACTTTTTTATAAAGGAATTGTCTTTGAGCTGGGTATCATACAGCTTTCAAAAGAAAGTTAACTTCCAAGTAGTTTCTTATTGTGCGTGGATGTTCCAAAATGTATTAGTATCTGAGGTTAGTGGATGTGTTAGGTACTGAGTTTATTAATGGTCTGAAGCAGACAAATCCAAAAACTGGAGCAAAACTATGCAATAGGCAGTACACCTGGTTACGTCTGTGGCCCAGTGTGACAGAAAGGGGTACAGAATGTCTGCCTTATGATGCGATTCCTATCACAGGCATGCGTGTTTTCGTGTTCCAGTGTCCCCATCTTCAAGAACCTGCCAGAGGAAACATTGACCAAAATCTCAGATGTGCTTGAAGAGGTGAGAAAATTTTCCTTCATTTTGAGTAGAACTCCCAGTTTCTGTGTGGTTAAGTTAAACGCGCAACATAATATTACCTACTTCGTCATTGAACATAAGCATGCTTGTATTTTACAGTTGAACTAGATTTGTAGCGTGTAGAATTCACTTACAGCTGTCAAATTGTAGCCCTGCATTCTAGTTACCAGTGTTAACGCTGAATCTCTAAGTGACCTGAAAAGCGTTTAAAATCATGTCTGATTGAGTGCCTGAAAAGCGTTTAAAATCATGTCTGAAGAACTCGTCATGACCGAGACAGAACCTCACATTGTGTACCACTGAGCTATCGTGAATAGGATGGAACTTCTCTTTCCTGACTGGATCAAAACCTTGTTTCTGAGCCGTGCTTACTGGGACGGAAGCCTGTAAGATGCGATGATGTGTAACCAAGACATCCTGACAGAAACAGAGCCACGTATCATGTCCCACTAAGCCATCATGACTGTCACAGTGCCTCTCGCACAATGAATAATGTTAAAATGTATTTATTTTTGCAGACATTCTACAATCCAGGCGATTACATCATTAGGCAAGGTGCTCGTGGTGATACATTCTTCATCATCAGCAAAGGACAGGTGAATGCTGACATGAAAAGGTCACTTAAGTTGTGCCTCAAAAGTTTGATTGAACTTCTTTTATAAGAAGCCATTGATTTGTATTTCAGGTGAAAGTGACGATAAAGCAGCCCAACTCCGGGGAGGAGCAGTACATACGCACCCTTCAGAAGGGAGACTTCTTCGGAGAAAAGGCTCTGCAGGGGTGAGAAATATCTGAATTTAAAAATGCTGATCTGAGGTGACTCTGGTGAAGTGTAGAAACAAAGTAGCATAAATGTGTTTTATTTCCAGTGATGACCTGCGTACAGCCAACATCATCGCCGATGAACACGAGGGTGTGACTTGTCTGGTGATTGACCGTGAGACATTTAACCAACTCATCTCTAGCCTCGATGAGATCAGAACACGGTACAAGGATGAGGGCGTGGAGAGGAGGAGGTGAGTGGTAATGAGATGTGTTGTGTGTGAGTTGTTCGTGATGTGCAGTCACGTGTCTGTGTTCTGATATTATCTTGTTTTGTTCTGTGCTTCATCCAGGGATTACAGACACAGTAAGTATATTTTTGCATTTGCTGACCTAGAAGATTAATTATGTTTTAACTGATGATTTTCTGAAGTTGCTTATTTAAATTTCCTAAGTGGGTTTCTTCATTTGATTTAGAAGATTCCTGCCAGCTTTACATCCCAGTTTCCGCAAGTTCCGACAGATTGTTTAGTTGCTTGTAGAAATTGTGCTACATCCTTAAATTTTGTGTCAGTTGAGTGACATTGCTGTTTTGTTGTCCTGCAGAATCAATGAGGAGTTCCGGGATGTAAAACTTGCAGACCTGCGAATCCTGGCAACCCTGGGAGTTGGTGGCTTTGGGCGTGTTGAGCTGGTGCAGATTGCTGGGGATCCAATGAGGTCATTTGCTCTTAAGCAGATGAAGAAGAGTCAGGTAGAGAGCAAGAATTTTTCAGTGTCCGAAAGAACAGCCGTGGTAGACCTTATCAGCCGCCTTAGTTAGTACTGACCACTACAAAAGTCACCAAGGGGAATCCTGCAGACATTAACTTGAAAACTTAACGTACCCAAACCCTCTTGATTTTTGCAGGATTTCTCCCTTGGCTGAGACTGTGACTTTTGAAACATGCGATTGACTTTGGATCATGAGCCTTCGTTTCCATTCTTTGCCAGTGAACCCATGAAACATTTTACACCCCTCCCAGTTTGGAAACTATTGTCCTTGAATATTTTGAAAAACACAAATTCATACGTACCTACACGTTGCAGATTGTGGAGACGCGGCAACAGCAGCACATCATGTCTGAGAAGGAGATCATGGGCGAGGCAAATTGCGAGTTCATCGTCAAGTTGTTCAAGACTTTCAAAGACCGCAAATACCTGTACATGCTCATGGAGGCATGCCTTGGAGGCGAATTATGGACTATCCTCAGAGACAAGGGTCACTTTGATGACTCCACCACACGCTTCTACACAGCCTGTGTTGTGGAGGCGTTCGACTACCTGCACAGTCGCAACATCATTTACAGAGACCTCAAGCCAGAGAACCTTCTGCTTGATGTGAATGGATATGTCAAACTGGTTGATTTTGGATTTGCAAAGAAACTGCAGGTACAGTAATTTTGTTGTCTCCAGAGCTTGTGGCATCGGATTTTCTTAAACTTGGTTGTGTGTCAGTGTTTATTTTTTGGAATCCTGGTTCTTCATCATTAATATATTCTATACTTATCTTCAACACTCTGTCTCTCTCACTCTCTCCGCACTGATGACTGCTGTTTGTTTATGTAACTGCTTTTTTGAATTCCTTCTTCATATAACAGATAGTATGAGTTTAGTTATTAGTGAGTTGAAAGACTGGGAGAATAACCAGGTTGTTGCTCTACATGAAGAACTGGGCATTTTCATTTTCAGTATGTTTTAAACTTATAATTTTTGCCAGCTTTATATTTCATACTCTTTTTCCCACTGTATTTATCCAGATACACCTGAACAAGACCTGCAACCCAGAAGAAATAGTTTCTGAATGAAAATACTCTTAAAGTGAATACATAAAAATAATCTGGCTTGTCCCATGTCTAGAAATATAGACGTGCTTGCATGATCACAGTATGGTTAAAAAATTTATGAAACATACAGTATCAAATTGTTGCCCTCGCGGGTTCAATCCCGGCCGAGGTCGATGGATTTTTAAGGGTGATAAAATTTCGTAGCACAACTTTCTTCGGAGGGGAAGTAAAGCCGGCGATCCCATGTCATAGATTTACGACATGTAAATGAACCGTAAGAGCATGATACGAGATGTTTCGTAAGAAAAATCCAGCGGCCATTTCTCACTCAGGTCTCCTGATTAACTGCTAGATGGCTCTGGCAGTCAAATCAGGATTGGGTAGAATGGGAAGTATTATAGCTAAAAATTCTATTATAATCTTCCTTGAAGAGTTGTTTCGTGCCGTGTGTTCATGACCGTTAGTGATGCGGCTGATTTGTCCCACAGCAAGGACGTAAGACGTGGACGTTCTGCGGTACTCCAGAGTATGTGGCACCTGAGGTGATCTTGAACCGAGGCCATGATATCAGTGCAGACTACTGGTCACTTGGTGTGCTCATGTTTGAGCTGCTTACAGGTATGTCTTGTCATTACGTGTTGGCGTGACTTAACTAGCCAAATTCAAAATCTTGCTTATTCCAGCTGGTGCTAAACTGCTTTGCGAGTGTGAGCGTTTCCATAAGCCTCGCTTGAATATTGAATTAGACTCAGCATTGAATTTTCCTGTCCTTCCCAACACTGCTGATTTGTCATCAAAGCCTATTATAAGATTATCAGGGAGATATATTCCTAGTGATATATCTAATAGAGGTGAAGATATGTGATTAACCTTGATCACATGGGAATAGAATATTTAAACAACCAAATTCCTGGCTAAAATTTAAATGGGCATGGTGTTACAATAGTACTGAGAAAATTGATATATCGGTGAAACTATTATCACTAAAATAATGTGGTGAAATGTTCCTTATACAACATACATTACACATTTATTTTTTGTTGAGAGAATATAGTTCTCTATTAGTTTCTATAAATGTAACTCGACTGCAGATGTCAGATTCTGGGTCTACTATGACCTAAATACAAACAACCATTTTATACCCTCACCACAGACAGACTACAAACAGGAGATGTGTGGGTAGTTTTTATATTTAAAATTTATAGTAGTGTTCTGGTCTACCCACCTCATCTTACCCACACTCTCCCGACTGACAGTTTTAAGCTCACTAGATGCAGAAAATTACAATCATTATGTAGATCATTTTCTGTATTCAAAGTTTCAAGTCACACTTTATTCTAACCACCACCTCCTCCCCTCCCTCAAAATACACCCGCCCTCCTGTCCTCTTACTGGCAAGCTACAAGCACGTGAATCGTCGTCATAATTATTTGGCATTTTTTAGTATTCTGGCTTACGAGACCTTGAAGATGACTACAACTGCAATTTGACAATATTTTGTTATAAAGGAGGGGGGGGGGGAGCTTCATATGGTCGGTAATGATAAATCATGGCTGGAACCAGTGAACAAAATAATGTCGTAAATTGGAAGCTACTCCGTTTAGCACGCGGAATGTACTCAACAGTGTGACGCAGATGGTAAGGTTAAACATTGCTGAATTCTGTGGAGAGGAATAATTTGTATTATAGTGTCTGGGTAAATATGACAACTTTGCCATGGGCTTGATCATTTACTGCACTTTTGAACTTCATATTGTAAGTGATATACCTTGATAAATATTTATTACACAATTAAGATTCTTGCACCAATTGTTTAAACAAACTGGGTGGATTCGAGCACGTGACATTCTGGTACTATGGGAAGCTTCGGTAGTCTGTGCACTGTTCTTGAAAGTCATGTAATGTGTTAAATTACCTAATTTTGTGGTGCAATGTCTTCTTTGGTTGACTGACTGTCACTGGTCCAGAAATGTCCTTAGTCTGACTAAGTTGAATCCATTTCACACCGTTTCTTCTGAATGCGTTTTAATTTTGTCCTATCCAAAACTGAGTTTAGTATGTTATCTCTTCCTTTGAGATTTTGTAATGAAAATTTTTTATGCTTTTATTTGCTTAATTCATGCTGCATTATCAGTCTTTATAATTATCTTGTTTTCACAAATAGACACCTTGATGGCTTTACTGTATTAGTGTTACTGCTATAATTATTTTTATCTTTGTATTTGTTTTTGTTATCGTAGGATACAAATCTCCATTTACCAGTAATGTGTACTTTGGGAAGCTGAACATGTAGAGTTGCACAATGAAAAATGAGTTTACTGTGTCCACAGGAACACCACCGTTTACTGGGTCTGACCCAATGAAGACTTACAACATTATTCTAAAAGGCATTGATGCAATTGAATTCCCACGCAATATCACTAGAAATGCTACGGCGCTGATCAAGAAGCTGTGTCGGTAAGTGCTCCTTAGGTACATGAATTTTACGTTGAGGCAGACCAAAGGGCGGCTTTATTTCATTTAATATACGTGTGACTGAGATTTTATCTGCAAGATTAAGCCTTTAAGGTTAAATTTATTTGGAGAGTTTTAATTAACATAATTTTCTAACCGAGTCATATTATTGAACAAGTCTTTGATTTTGGCACACAAAAACTGGTTCCACTTACGTGTAAAATACTGCATTATTTATCAGGCTCATGGCTGAGAATTGCTGAAGTGAACTGATATTTTGGAGATGGTTGTCTTCCGGGTTGTAAAAATATGTCATGAGAACCTCAAATGCTATTAAACTGACATTTTGGTCCCATGGATGCTGGTTTGATGCACCTAAAATCAGCAGTTCAGCTGCTAGTGCCATGGCAAAAACTTTCCTGTAATATTAATACTGATGAAATTGAATTGCTGATATTCCAAACATTGATGTAAATGCACGTGATGTGATGAATAGTTTATGTTTGAAGATGCAGCCTGCCTCAGAACATCTATAAGATGCTAATATATGTAATAGAAGTGTCTTGATTAACAAACAGGGACTTGAACACAGAAAAGACAACACCTCACCCAAAATTGACAAACAAATGGCATGAAACATCAGCAAATGGAATCATATTTGAGTTTTAAGTTCGTAAATATTTTACACCTGATGATGGTTTTATAAAAACTGAAACATGTTGTGTAAAAGATGTTCCAAAATGTAAATCGATTAATCGATATGGAACATCAATGATATTTTATTATCTTAATTATAAGAAATGCCCAAAATTATTCAGAATACACAGAAATGGGCCACAGAGGACAGTGATACTATTTTTTATCAGTTATGAAGTTCAATGTCTGATATTGCACTTTCAGGGACAACCCGACAGAGAGGCTTGGTTATCAGAAGGGTGGCATTAGTGAGATCCAGAAGCACAAGTAAGTGTCTGGCAGTTTGTCGCTGTAGTGTTCATGCCGGTGAAATGCTTTTTGTAATGTGAACTGTGTCAGAATTTGGCTCTGGTGGTGGTGGTAATGAACCTTCAAATTCTGTACCAAGAACAGGTCTCTTTAATATGACAGGCAAAGTCTCAAATCCTCAAATACGTTCACACGTCTCCAGGAAGAGCCACTACTGCGAACCTTGTTAAAATATTCATTTGACTTTATTCTGATATCATTGGGCATCCGATCGATGTCCAGGTCTTTGAAGTGATTTTCTTATTTTCCTTATGCATACTATGATTTGTTTATATTACGCTGTGTATAAAATTTGTTTTTCTCCCACTCCAGCCCTCTGGGTCCGTGAAATCATGTAAATTATAAAGTGGCAATGTGTGATTTACAACAAAAAATATTTTTATTTATGAAACATTATATCAAAACAGAAAAAGGCAGAATGCATTGCTGATAAAAGTCTAACAGCTTTTGTCGTGCATCTGAAGACCTTGAAATTTTTAGAATGCATTGCCGATAAAAGTCTAACAGCTTCTATCGTGCATCTGAAGACCTTGAAATTTTTCTACTAGACTCCTTGCTGCAGTGAATTTGTGTGGACTCCGTTTGTTGACAGTCTACGATGAACATTAAATATAAGTAGTGCCCCGTAAAATGGGACATTTTCCTACAAGAAATTGTGACGGTTAAAAATGTGGAAAAAAAAAATGTACCAAAACCCAGTGTGAGTGGGATCAAGCCAAGCAAGATTGCATTTGCTAAAGTTTTATAAATTCATGTGTGTATCAAAATGTCATAATTATTCTATTTTACAGTAATTTCTCTCTCTCTTTACAATAACAGGTAAACTCTAAATTGTAGTTCTTTATTCTAATTCTAGTGTGCTACAAGCACCAAAAGGTTGAGAACCGCTGGTGTAGCAAATAATTTGAATTATGAAAATCCTCCAGTAATAACACATGGTTCTACGGCCAATGCCGTTCAGGCCATACAAGACGGAAAACACCAACAGCTGAAACTACAGAATATTTTTTTGAGAATTTTATACAACATGTTTTTGTTTTTACATGTACATTATTGAGATACATTTACATCAGTGAAGCTACAGCTTACATGGATGAACTTAATGTTATTATATTTATAATTTAAACATGTTGTTCATTGATGACACCAGCGACCTGGTCAAAAGTGACAAGAACTGTAAATGGGACAGTATTTTGATGAGAAAGTGGCCAAAACATTCAGTCCTCCTCTGTCATTCCCATTTCTATCTGTTGTTCGGGAACTTAAATCCCTTTCTCTGATATTTTCTGTCTCCGTGTTGCGTCTTCAAGGGAAGTGAAATGTGAGATGTGACTGCTTCTAGGTGGTTCGATGGCTTCAACTGGGAAGGCCTCATCAATCACACCCTGATTCCCCCCATAACTCCAAAGGTGCGAAATGTGACTGACACGAGCAACTTCGATGAATATCCTCCTGACAGTGAGGGGCCCCCTTTGGATGACCTCACAGGCTGGGATGCTGAGTTTTAGACCCTGTTTCTGGTGCTGTGTCACTGTGATGACCCAGATTGGTGCAACTCGAGGCTAGAACACGTTCACAATAAGTATTAGTTGATACGCTGTTGATCTGGATTACAGAGTGCCATTCCTGCAGTAGTTTGTAAATAGTGATCCCTTCCAGCTGAGCACACGTTGTTGAAGAAGATGGTTTCCCCACTTGTTTTAAATTTGTATTGAGTGCCATTTAAACAGTGCAAGGGAAGAAGGCTTGTTTAACACATTTGATTATGTTAAAGACTGCCACACGGTTTGTAGTTGATTAAGGTCCTGATAATCTTGTGACATTTTTGAACTGAAAGCGAACAACGATGTAATTAATTTGTACAAAGCGTTTCTAAGTGAAAGTGTGTATAAAGAGATGGTAAATTTCTTAGAATCCTGAGGGTAAGATTATTTTTTGTCCTGGTTTTCTAAGCATACTACCATTGCAATATTCTTGCCATTGCAATAGAAATTATTAAGTTAGTTATTTTATATATGTTACGTTTGAATGATATAGTTTATAAATTAATATGTACATATGTCACTCTAACATTTGCACATAGACTTAACCCCGTAGTGTGTGATGCTTGATAACAGAAAGGCAATGCTTTGTTCAGAGAGATGGTGTATTTAAAATAAAGTTTTATATTACCTGCCTGCCTCTGTGCCTCCCTCTTTCATCAGTGATACTCTGTAGTTAGGCATATTTGACAGATTATTGTGGTCCCACACCTGGTGTCTCCCTTTTGACTGGAATTTCTATCCCAATTTCATCGTCATCGTTGTTTTTTGTCGCACTATATACAATTTTAGTAACTTTGGTTTATGTCTGTGGAGGAAATACCTTATTGAAGTTAACCTTTCACTGGCATCTCTTCTTTTTAAATGACAGTAACTTTCTACATCAGCCACCTTTAAAATACTTTACACGATGGAAATTTAATTCCCATATGCCATGTAACAAAATCAGTTAATTTATAAGAGCCCTGAGATATTATTCCATCAATTGTAGTTTTTTCAGGTTATCTTCTATCATGTAGGTATTGGAAGAGATGTGTCGTTCACTCATGTTTTGGTTGCAGAATTTATCCCTCCACTCCTGATATCAACTGTTCTGTTTCATATGACTGAATCTTAGTTCTTCTTCCCCACCACCAAACCTTCAGACTTAAAAAAGAATGTCTTACAGCAGTGGCGAAACTAAATTGTCATGGGCTTTGGTACAAAATATTTGAGTGGCCACCTAATTTATTTTATATGTCCCGTTCTTCAGTGCCTGAGCATCTGTGGGTCCCAACTTTTTGTTGGCTCTGATCTATTGACAGTTGGTAGGACTCCTTGGATGAGCAATCGGCCTGTCACAAGGCCTCTACACAGGACAGCACAACACAGAAAGATGCGGACAAACATCCGTGCCTTGAGTTGGATTCAAGCCCATGATACAAGCAGCACAAGACCCATGCCTCTGACCACGTGGCTACTGTGATGACCCCCCTATGTATAAAATGTATCATTATGACATCAGTAATGAAAATAATGTTGACATTAATAAATTGGTTAAAGAACAATATGTGTAGGTTCATAGGTACATAGATAGTCTATTAAGTTCTTAGAATTAAACTTTTCTTGCTTTAATTTCTCTGAATGGTTAGAGGTCAGCCTTGGAGCAGAAAAAGTAGTAACAGAACACTTCCTATTTGCATGTATAACTGATGTTTTCATCCAATGAAGGTAAGTATAGTTATCGAGTATAGTTCTGAACTATCCATTCACTGGCACTGGTATGATAACATATTTTCATGAATGATTCAGCTTAGTCAAGATATGGCACTTGGGGAATAGCATTTGAAGAATTTTTTTTAATATTTATGATTATCACCATCAGATTTGGACTTACGAAAGGGAGACCAACCGTTAAAAACCTAAAATCTACTAAATCACAAAAGGTGCTCTGCAGATATCAGAAGGGAAACTCAACCTAAAATCTAAATCACAAAATGTGCTCTGCAGATATCAGAAGGGAAACTACGATGATTACATAGTGTGACCAACTTCATAAGATACTATGAGTACAGAAGCTGGTTAAACAGAACCCGCTGTCAAAAGTAATTAAAAACATCCTATAAACGAAACAGATCATCAATAGCATTAATATGTCAGCTAACATGACGTTGCAGACCACGAGACCAGCATTTAACCAACATCTGAAAAGTGCCGGTACAGTCTCCAGTTAAACCTGTATTTCCCTCCAGTCCTGAAATGAGGTATTTTCTATTGATGAGGCGACATTTCATTTTACAGGTTGCCTGTGGCATTATCTTTGTGGCATCGTTTGTGGTCAAATGTGAAAGTTACTTTCATGTGGCTAAACTCAAAGCAAACTGCGTGTTTTAACATATAAGCTGGTTTGTGTTCATTTTGTACCCATATTTTAGTAAACGCTAGGGTTTTTGTTATAATACATTCGTTTTGGACTTACATGTTTTATATCGAATAATTTCTACAGGAGGAATATTTAGTCATGGCTATGTACTTCATCGTTGGGTGTGTAATATAAGGGTCTCACTATATCACATAAGTTCTAAAATTAACAAGTAGGCTGAATACATAACGTGGAAACTTAGTGACGTAGTACAAAACGTGTTTTGTGGTGGAAGAATCGTGTTTCAAACCCGTTTTCGTAGTGGCAGAGTTGTGTGATGTATTTCCTTTGTAGCAAAAATGTATAGCAACAATGTAACGGTTCTAGAATACAGCCAGAGAGGTTACATACTTTCCTGATTTTTTCTAACGTCTTAGCAGCTTATTTGTAGCGACTGTTATGAATTTCAATGCCTGTATTAATTACGGGATAACGACTGTTATGAACTTCAATGCCTGTATTAATTACGGGATAATCCTTAACAGCAGTGTTTAATTGGATGAGTCATTGTTTTGGAGGTGTTAGAGTTCTTTTTCTGTAAGTAGGTAATTTCCATTTCCAGTATTAGAGTAAGTTTAGGAGTCCAAAATGTGGACTGTGTAATAAGAAATGTAAGAAGTTTTTTGGGGATAAATGTGCTGTTACTATTGAATTCAAATACAATGCTACACTTGGTTATAGGGAATATTAGAGCATTAAATGAAGATTTTGCTGATTAAGGTTTTACAGTTATAGTTTGTGGACCTATCATTGCCAGAAATATCAGTCGCACTGATGTATTTGTTGGCTTCTGTGATAACATGACAGGCATCGTATGAACAGGTGGGTGAGGAGTGTGTATGTGAAGCTTGAACGTGTGATTTAGGTTTGTGACAAGTCACGTATCTGACAGACTGATGTATGATCCTTGGGTAACGGAAAGGTGCTTACTGTGCAGAGATCAAATTATTCAGTATTCTTCCGTCTAGCATCAAATGTTTAAATATATTAAGTGTTTGCGTAAATAGCTGTAACATCTATGTATTTATATTGACATTGCATTTATGCTAACTATTGATGTTTATGACATGTTCCGTGTCCTTGTCCTATGTTCAGAAGGATCTGTGAATTGTGAACAAAATATATTCTATTCTCCTTGCACCCACCAACACTGTTTTTCTCAGATGGTTTATATATTACCAATTGGTCATACTGTTCTTTGCTGTGATAGTGATAACTTCAAACACTGTAACAGGAGCAATATTTCTACTGCTTTTACTGTTCAGTGTTGTCGGCTTACCATATGGTAAACTGACAACGTTGAACTGTGTCAGGGCTTAATTCCAGATTACAAAGCTGTCATGTCATGGGAGGTGGAAACCATTACTCTTTTCTGACAACACAGTATTTAAATCTTATTCTTAGGAGTGCGGCTGAACTCAGAAGTGACAACAAAGTACATACTGGGAAAAGAGTCCAACTCCAACTTCCCCCAATAGCTTATGTCTGATGAATGCAGTCTGCTTCATCCATTACTAGTTGATGCTTTGCATTTTAATACATTAAGCAGAAAACATGCTTGGATTTATCTGTGTCGTGCATTTGGCTTTGCTGTGCCTGCTTGTGTTGAATGTTTGCTAGTTCCGATCTCTTTCTTTTATGTAACCCTAACTTGTCAATATTTTCCAGCAGTTTCTTATTTTAGGCTATGTAACCTTTTCCAGCTTTGTTAAATGTACTAACAAATGTCCCATGACTGTTTATATTGGTTCTGTGACTGAAAGTTTGAAGTCTACACAATTGCAGTGGTTATTTAAGACTGCCAGCACACAAAACAGTTAACCAAAACTTCAAGAAACTAAACTTAACCTAGTTCTTAATAATAGCATTTCCCCATACTGGTTGAAGAGGCTTTCCTGCCTTGAGTAGCTTGGCAGAGCCTTGTATATGACAACTGGGTATAACACATGAAAGTGAGACTGATGTTAAAGTGGGAGTTCCCATCTGCTTTTTACACTTCTACATTTCTGTAGCTTTGGTATTGTTTCAGAATCAAATCTTTCTCCACTCACAGTTATGGCAGGACGTGGGGGTCGCGGAGCAATGTTAGAGGCCTTCTTTGCTCAGCAGCGACCTGGGATTGAAGGCAATAAGAGTCAGGTGAGCAATGTGTTTAATCTCTGAGGTCCAGTTCAGTAGATTTTATTGCTTGAGAAATACTTTGTGCTTGTTGTTACAGTATTCTGGGATTAAGTATTCTAGCTATTGCCTTAAGCTGCAGCCAGTAGCTCAAAGCATCACTTTGAGATACTATTTAAATTTCTTGTCCTTAAGTTTTCACAGCATGAGCCGGCGTAGCTCAGTCAGTATAGTGACGACCGGGGTTTGATCCCTGACGGGGGCAGAGGATTTTTCCTCTAGCCTCTGTGTTCAGACTGGTTTTGGGGGGGCCGACCCAGCCTCCTATCCAATGGATGTCAGTGTCCTTTCTCAGTATCAGATTTAATCAAAATCAGTTTATTTATGTTTGAGTTTCTCATGCGTAGCTATGAGTAGTCGGACTGACTTTGAGGTGCTCTTTGTGCCTCTGAAAAGGAAGTTTATTCCATTCATGAGTAGCGTATTGAAAACTTTTTGTAAGTTATTAAAGTATGAAACCTGTAGGGCAAAAAAGTGCCTGGCTTCTAAATTTTTGGGCCATTTCATAGTGTAAAGAAAAGTTTATCACTCGCCATATTACTAGAAGAACACAGAGTGTTGGTGTTTGACAGCAGTGTGCAGAGGAAAATGTTTTAGAGTAGTGGGAGGCTTCAGAAAACTGCATAATAAGATTAAAACTTTTCATACCGCGTAGTGTTAATAGTTTGTTTGTTTGCTTATTTTATATGCGTAGTAAGAGCGTAGTTAGTACACTTCACCACATATTTTAGGATGATAAAGTTAAGGAGGATGAATTGGACAAGGTATTTAGCGCACATCGGAGACAGATGATAAATGAATTCACAATTCTAGTTGGAAAACCTGAAGGAGAGATCCATCAGGAAGACTTGAGCATAGCTGGGAGAATAATATTAAAATCAGTCATAAAGAAGTAGGATGTAAGAGTGTGAACTGTATCAATCTTGTTTGAGCTAGGTATCAGTGGCAGGCTGTTGTGTGTATGGTAATGAACTTTTGGGTTTTCATAAAGGCCAGGGAATTTATTGACTAGCTGATTGCCTGTTGGCTTCATGCGCTGTGCTCACTTGGAAATAGAAGTGACTGTGGTCAGTTATTGTTGGCTGGTGAGTTTGTTTTTACGTCTATGTGCTGTAAATGTACTCATTAATTTGTGACTGTACGGTGAATTGTTGTTCTTGGTTGGTGGGTTTGTTATAGAATTTAAGTGATAGCTGTGTTAATTTTTGGCCTTATTATGTCCGTGTCTCGTGTAATTGCCCTGTATAATTATTATGTGTGGCTGGTAAAATTTTTGTATTTTTTACATTGTGAATGTTTTTGGTTGTACGGTATTTAGCTTTGGGTATCTCTAGTTGTGTGTTGTAAATGTGGGCTTCCATCTGTGCCCTTTTATGAATTTGTAGATGTCAGGACTGAAGAGTCTGTAATTTATCATTTTATGAGCTTGATTCTCTTTGTAACAGTCGGAAGCTGCAGCTGTAGCTGTAGTTGCAGGTCCCCCACCTGCAGTAACCATGAGTCATGGCTCTGGCAGAGCGTCTTTATTGACAATTCTTCGCAACCAAAGCAGGGTACCTGGATCAGTTCCTCCTCTGCAGGATGTGGAGGAGGAGCCGCCTCTCAGAAATTTTAGTCGGGGTGCCGCACTGCTGAATTTGAAGAGGAATACATCATCGTAAGTTGTGTTGTAATGTGTCTCTTTTGTCCTTTGACCAGCAAACTTCAAACACTGGGTAAAGCGACCTATGAATACGTGATGTAAGTCAGTTTCAAAATTTCTAATATTGTTGTGGGCTGCCACTGCTAGCTAACTACAAACAAACATATGATGCTGATATAGGATTTGAGACTTTCGCGGCGAGTACAATCAGTGAAATCTTCTCGGACAATCAGTCGCGTCACTTGGTTACCGTGGTAAACCGAAGTTTCGGGAACCAACTCTGTCCCCATCATCAGGGTTCTGATGTGACTGGATCCTCGGAAGTCACCTGTGTAACTGCCTGCTCGGGACCAGTGCACATGTCCGGACCCAGGTCCAAGGAGCTAGGGGGCGGAGTCAAGCGCTCAGTTTGTCTGGCTCTGGTGTTTCCCCAAAATTCCTGAGCATGTTCGTCAACTGATACCATGCTCAGCTCAAGGTGAAACCTCCGTTCCTATTACAGTTGTCGGGATGCAGCCGGATCTCTATGGCTTCCTTAAGCCATAGAGATTCTTAATTAGGACCGTTGGTGTAATTATTTTAGTGAATTAGAATATGGGAAAATTTAAGGAAAGCTTAAATTTCAAACTTACAAAATCTGAAATTTGTTGGTAGAGGAGGGAAAAACTTATCATATTTAATAAATATTGTTACCATTTGATATCTAAGATATCCACCAATAGATAACCGAAGAAGGCCAAAATCTGTAGTGCAATATAATAAAATGAAAGGTTGTAGAGATGGGTGTATTATTTACAACTGTGTTCATCACACAACAGGATCCAAAACATGAAATTAAAATTGCAATTCAAGGTGGCCATGCCAACTGCTGTGTTGATTTGACAGGAAATGGCCTGAATACAAAGTGATATTAGTCGCTAGCACATTTGGAAACATGTTTCTTGCACCTTATTTCTCAACAGGCCCACTACAAAATCTCCCGCCTCTGAATCTTCATGTGTAGCTCCACCAGGAGTCGTCGGACCACCGACTGCAAAGATGGCTCAGATGAGCTTTCAGGAAAGCTCAGGAACCAGTGGGAAGCAGTGAGTAGAACAGTTGGCCTGCTTTTTACTTTTGCTCTATGTATATGAAGAATTTGATATTGTGAATCTCAATTGGTATGCTAGGCACTGAAATCTGTTTGACCGGGTGATTTTTCCAATAACATTTTAGGAAAACAGAATAATCCTCTACTTCCGGCTGAATATAAGGTGGCGTTGATCCCTGGTTTGTTTGGAAACATGTTTTTGTGCCTCATTTCTCTCCAACAGGCCTGCTACAAGTTGTCCGTCTGCTGGACCTCCAGGCGTCCCACCACGAGCAGCAGGATCACAAAATGCACAGATGAGTTTTCAGGAAAGGCCCCCTGTTCAGAAGTCAGGAAGCAGTGGGAAGCAGTGAGTAGACTATTTGCCTTGCCCAATTTTTATTATATATCAGAGGTTCCCAAAATTTTATACCTTGCGCCCCCTTAAAACATTTCATAAATGTCACGCCCAGCTTCTAGAACAAGTGCAGGCAAACAGATTTGACATAAAATTTAGCTATGAGTATACATTTTTTTATAATTCAGTGTATATTATTCAATGCATAAAATATACGCTTCATACCTGGATTAGTGGGATGGGTCCCTAACTGCACGTAGACTTATATTGCCGTTTACTTCCTAAAACCGCCGATGGTCTACGAGTCTGAATTCTACAGCACTGTAAGACAACTAAACTGCCTCAACCAAGGAAAGGATGTTAAAAATGTTTCTCTCCGTATTTCGTTAAAAAAAGTTGAAATTAATGCTTTAATTTGCAGTTATGACTACTCTGTTTCCATCGCTTGCTTTCCGTTTGACAGTTTTTTGTGCGTGGTTTGCAGGATCCCAGCTACTGCCAATTATATAAGACTTCACGTGGAGCCAGGGAAAGGCGTATATGAGTATGAAGTTCGTTTTGAGCCAGAAGTGGTTTCTAGGGGGATGCAGAACAAACTCCTCAATGAGCATATTTTGGAACTTGGGGAGGCAAAGACGTTTGATGGAGTGACTTTGTATTTACCAATCAAACTGCGGGAGGAGGTAAGAGACGGCTGGTGTGATAGTTCCCCATCGCAAGAATCATATTTTTTTCAGGTACGAAAGTGGATAAAGAAGAATCAGTTTGAAGGTTGTAGTGCCATGTAGTCTGGTGAAAGTTTACTAATGTTTCAGAGGTCCTTGCTGCCTCCATCATCAGGATGCGCTAAGAATCAGTTTTGTGCAAGTACTGTACAGGAGGTCCTTGTTTTACATTGTTATTTTGCCTCCGTCATCAGGGCGGTCATAATCGCCCTGATGATGGAGGCAGCGAGGACCTCTGAAACGTCAGTAAACTACCAGACTACACAGCGCAACAACCCAGAAGGCAGCCATCTTCAGACTCACCACCGTGAAAACCTCGTATCCTACAAGGAAAACCAATTTTCTAACAAGAAAAGTTTTACATTTCATGTGGGGACTGCGCTTTCTTGGTTGAAACAACTTGGAATGTCAGAATCAGCTTTGAGTAAAATTGTCAAAAACTAGGGAGTACGGTCATCTGTTTCGACATCAGTACAAATTATTCACCTTGCAATGAAAATATTGTGTGTTATTAACTGACTTTATAAATTTTTTTAGATTCTATCGTGAAATTGATATTAAAAATTATCGTATGAATGGGTATTGTGATTGACAAACAATTTGGCATTCTGCTAGTAATTGAAAATGTATTTGTCTATGGAATCAGCTGTGTGACTTGAACTTGAAATGCTGTCCATAACTGAAACCCGAAATAAAAATTTTCAGCAAGGTGTGGCCACATTTTCCGCCACAACCCACCTGTAATGGCCATTCATGCACCGCATAGAAAACTTAAAAAGAACATGGCCCAAGAAGTGAATTTGTTTAAGTACAATGATTTATGGAAATTTTTCACTGAGAAAGATTAGATATCAAAATTGATACGTAGTAAGTACAGTTTAGTACACTGTGAAAAATTTTTGTGTTATAAATTGTGATTACAGTGAAGTAATTGGTCTAGTTGGGAAAATTTGTGTTCTCAGCTTACAGTGAAATAATTGATCTAGTTGGGAAAATTTGTGTTCTCAGCTCAATCTCAGAATTTTTAAAAATTCTGAAAAAGTTATTCTGACCTATGCCTACAAAACAGAACAAAGGGAAATTTTTGTTTTATTGTTATTTGTACAAAATATTACAACAGTTGGAATTTTGACTGATGTGCGTCCCTTCTTCCCAGTAGCCATGTTATTGCCGCGTGTTGCAGGTCACACGATATACGTCACTCCATCCAGTGGACAGGACGCCCGTCTCCATCAACATAACTTTTAAACGGAAAAAGCGACTGGGAGAATGCATTCACCTGTACAATGTGTTGTTCAGGAGAATAATGTTTGCGCTGGATCTGGCTCGGATCGGCAGACAGCACTTCAGTCCTATTAACGCTTTTCCTATCCCCCAGTACAAGTGAGTGACAGTTTACTGCATCCTGTGAATTTACTAACGTCTTAAACTTTAGAAGGTGATGCAGATTCCAAATAAGATTTGTAGCAGAGCAGGAAACAAAAATGGCTTCACATTTTATGAAGGATTTATAAAATTTTGTTTATTGGTTACCCCTGAAGCAGAAAAAATGGCTGCTTAAGACATTCCATAACTAATTGAATCTATTCTACATACAGAAGAATCTGGATTCAATAATTGGGGAAGTTTAGAATACCTCAGAAATGTTTAATGTGAAGCTTTCGTGGTGGCTGACGTTAATAAAATCTTTGAGAAATGGTACATTTTTCGTTGAAGTGTTGGACAACGAGCTGTTGAACACGCTCTTCTAAAAGCCTCTCCCATTAAAGATGAGATGCAGCTGTCAGTTTTTACAGCAGTATCATTATGATGGACTGTTGCGCAGATACAATAGCGTCTAATGCCCGTTGGCCGAGGCTTTCATGGTTTCCATTAGTCCGTGTAGACTAGTATAGTTTGAGCTTCGTTGTAGGGACAATTTATCTCACACGAATTGTAGTTTGGCCCAGCATGATACAGTAATGAAATTGTTTTCTCCGCATTTGACAGCAGCCATGCAGTCATTTGATCTCCATTGTCACTGCATATTAATATTCTGATGCTTTCTTTTGTGGAATGCAGGGCCACACTGTACTACCCTCTCCATCCTGTACGTATCTAGGACACGTGTGACAAAATTTAGTTAAAAGAATTGTTTTATGATGACAGGAGCACTTGGCATATTATGCACAGTTCTTATGAGCCATTTTTTGAGAACATTTTGCATTACGTCAACACCTTCTTATGAACAGTAACGAAAGCGACTTCTACTTTTCAGGTTGGAAGTGTGGCCTGGCTATGTGACTGCAGTGGATGAGTATGAGGGCGGAGTGCAACTGTGCTGTGACGCTTCTCACCGTGTTTTGCGGACCCAAACTGTTCATGAGCTCATGTGAGTCCAGATTTGAACCCTGGACCTCCCGAATATGAAGCGGGATGTTAACCACTCGGCCTTATGTTTGGTATTATAATGTAGAGTGCGGCATCCCATTGCTACATGCGGCCATGTTGTTACAGAAAGACTTTTCTGTGTGCAGGGAGGAGATAGTGTACCGGAAACCAAGCAACTACCGAGATTTGGTGCAGAAGACCATTATTGGAGTTACAGTCCTGACACGATACAACAACAGGGTGTATCGAATTGATGATATTGATTGGAACCAGTCACCCAGTTCCACATTCTCCACCCACATAGGAGAAACTGTAAGCACTGTGATGTACAGTGAAACTTCTATCCATCGTTACCCAAACTGCCGTTTTTCCGGATGCGTCGTCCGTTTTGTTCAGTTCCTGATAAGTCCAATATAAAATAAAGTTACATTTTCTCACTTCTATCGTTCCTCAAAGTGTCGTTTTATCGCATCAATTGTTCAAAAATATTAGTCCTGGCAAACAATTTTCCCGCACTGATCGTTTCTGAGAAATTATAACGGAATTTACGCAGTGTTTTTAGAATTTAAATTGATCTCATTAGAGACAGATTAATATCGAAAGACGCACAGCGAGCTTGTCACATGCGCGGCCGACACCATCGATGAGTCATGTGACGATCGCGAAAGGGGCGGTAACGATGAGGAAGGGGAAGACGACGAATGCGAGCCTGAAGCTGTTCCGAGTTTTGACGAAGCACATGCCGCATTGATGTTAAAGTGAATTCATTTTTTTGTGTGCACAATATTTGTGAACGTGATGAGGAAAACATGGAAAGGGCTCTGTTTCGCCTAAAATGTAAAGTTAACCATTAGAGACTTTTTTGGCAAAAAAAGTAACTTTTAAACAGGTTTTATGTGTATTGTTTTGTGTATGCAAAAGAGAAAATGCACTATTTTAATTTTTTCTCATTTTTAATGTTTTCCCACAATGTTTTTCTTCTGTGTTCATCGTTTTTGTTTCTCTCCCCCCCGGTCAAAAGACGATGCATCAAGGTTTCACTGACTTCTTGGAACATTTCCGTACTTATTGACTGATTGGGAGTACATGTGCTGTGAAGTTAAGGATGCCTGTACCATATGTTCACAATGTGTTGCTTAGGAATGGCAATGACTGTAACATGTGTAGATGAAAATTAATGATACCAGCTTATCATACCATTATTTTCCATATTTTTGTTTATGACTTGTGGTTATATTTTGAGAGAATTCACTTCTAATTCAAATAAATATGGCACTCTGTGGACAGAAACTGTTTAATTTGGTTCTGGCTGGGAGGGGTGTTCGTTTGTATATCACCCGTGTTTTTTCCTTCCAGACTTATGCGGCATACGAGTGAAAGAATGAAAATTAATGAGGTGAAATGAAATTTGCCACTCACGTGGTCATGGTTTCCATGTTTCAGATATCGTTCAAGGATTACTACAAGAAGCACTATGATATCGACATCCAAGATTTGGAGCAGCCTCTTCTCCTGAATCGAATGAAGGTCAGGATTCGTGGGCACCAGAACGTACGTATGAATTGTTATATTTGGTTTTGTTTGGATGTGGGCTTCACCGGAATATAAGAGCCGAACCTCATATGTCTTAGAAATTGTTGATCCAAGGTTTTACGAGCAAAACAATGGTAATCCAGAAAATTAAAAAAAATTAAGAATTTTTGCCATATTTACTATATGGCTGGACTGTTAAAAAGCAAAAGCATTGGTACTGGAGAAATTTGGAGCTTGGCAAACATTGCGGAAAGTGGAAGTACGTGTGCATGTATTATACTTAATAGATTGGAGTTTTATTTTTTACGACTGTTGGTAAAGGCAATGTGTTCGTCTTCACTCTGTGCCTTTATCTGACTTTGTCGTGTTTGATCATATGAACAGTATTGAGATTTTATTTGCACTGTATATGCCTCCTGTAATCGGAAATCTTTTCTCCGTTGGAGGCAAATTAACATTTGTACCTCTATCGTGTAACGTATTTACATGCATTGCGTCTTAAAATATTTCAGAAATAATTTAATCTGCATTACTGATTTTTGGTGGCCAACACAAGGTGGAATTTTTGTCAGGCCTGTCCAAACTGCTAATGTAGCTCACACAAAAGGCGTGGGAGACCATGAACGGTTTTGCTACAATATAGCATCTGGATGTATCAGAATTGTTTCTGTAGGTTTTCTTGTTTTACGTAAGACAAAAGGCAGGTCTTGATGCAATCTGTACGGGTAATATTGAGTCTTTATATGATTACTGAAATGTTGCTTTGGTTGCAGGAATTGGAACAGCTGGTGTGTCTAGTTCCAGAACTCTGCTTCCTCACGGGGTTGACAGACGATATGAAGAACGATTTTCATGTCATGAAGGAAATTGCCATGTACACTAGAATCACACCAAACCAGCGGCAGGTCGCTCTTAAGAAGTTTATGAAAAATATTCAAGGTATGAGAAATACAGATAATACTCGCTTGAGCTGGTTGACAGAATACATAAGGGGGGGAAGTGGAATGAAAGTGGAAGATGCTAGTAGTTTATTTTCATGCTGTGTGTAATGTTAAAAAACATTTGTCTGTGTTCCATAGTCTTACAATTTTTGCTGCAATATCTCATTAAAATTTCATAAGTATGAATCTTCAATGCCTGAAAATTCATCACCAGCATCTTGTTCTGCTTCATTAGATGCGTCACTGAAATAACTGTTGCAACCACCTAATTGAATTATCAGTTGGGTCTACCATTAGGTTGACCAGAGCTTTATATTCCATTAGTTTATTCCCATTTCACTAAAATTCTCTTCACACAACTTTTCATATCCTTGGTTTTAAATAACGTTTGTTTGTTCAACATATTGCTCTGACTGTACCTGAATAGTTTCTGTGGGTGGTAAGGGGTAAACAAATGATGACAACCATAAATACTGTAGTATATAACAAATTATGTCCCGCGCAGTCTGAGGCATCATGCTTCGGACCGGCGATATGGAATTCGCGCTGGTTCGAGTCTGGGGGGAGAAGAAATTTTCTCACGAGCTTTCGACCAGTGTATGGGACCGGTGCCAACCCAGCATCGTGAGGAAATTGGGGAGCTACAATGGGTAGCGTAATCCGGTCAGGAAAACTAGCAATGGCTGGGGGTTCGTCGTGCTGACCACACGTCACCCTATATCCGGTTGGATGACTGTTCACCTCTGCTTAGGCATGTGAATGTGAGGCCAGCAGTCGAGCTAGTCGGCTTTGGATCTCAGAGGGCTCTTACGCCACGGATTTAATTTTTAATATAACAAATTACATTTCCGTTCTTTGTTCATTTAGGATAGACGTGTGTTTTGGTTTGCAGTGTCTGTATGATATATAACATCTAAATGCAACAAGCAGATTGGTCACATCTTTATGGCTGTGCCTCTTAACAGCACTCTCTGGCCAGCTATAACATGATTCACGAATAAAATAATTTTAAAGTATTTAGTAGCATGCTAAACATTTGTCTAAAGTTCATGAATATTTTAAAATTACAGCTGATTCATTTCTTCGTTTAATCTGCACATTTCTTTGAGTTTTCTCCCGTTTAATGCATCGTCGTACATTTTCACTGAAAATAAGCCAGTGAATGACCACCTGAAGTCTGGGTAAACATTTTATGGGACATTCTGTGTAGTTTATCCACTGTCTGGTTCGTAAGTCTGCAATGAAGATCTTGAAATAAGCTTGTTTTGCCGTGAATTCTTACATCACGTGTCTTCCCTTCAGCATCATGATGTGATTCACACACAATTTCCAGAAAATGAACGTGCTCAGACGTTGTTGACTGGCTGGGGTCTCAAAGTGGATTCAGGCACGGTGGATCTCATGGCTCGAGTGCTTGATCCCGAGGAAATCATTTTTGGTGATAATGTGTCCCACAGGGGAACACAGCAGGCAGACTGGGGAGCGGCTGCCACTCGGAACAACGTACTTTCTGCGGTGAGTTGTGCAATTCTGCCTGCCCACAAATATTAGACTTCCGTTTGTACTTTGGTGTATGTTCTTTTGCAAGTAGTTCCTGTCAGCTTTCAGACACCGCGCTGTTTCCACTAGTAGACGTGAAGGTTGAATGCTATTCATGTGGAAGCCTGGCATTAGAATTTTGTGTTTTATATTTTGATAGATTCTGTACTTAAGACATCCTGAAAGTTAGAAGTGTCAGATTTAACTCTTGTGCTTTTGAGGACAGAACAGTTCGCCCGTGTGTATGGAATGTTCTGACAACAAGAAAGTTAACATACAGCTTGAAAGATTATAAAATTCATTCTGTGTAAGAAGTTTTCCCATCATGTTGGCAATAATGTGTATAATACATATTTTTGAGCAAGAGGTTCCCACATATTAGGCTTTTCTGTGTGGGACATGAAAATTTTAAAATACTTTCTTCTTTGTTGAATAAGAGAAAAGGTGTAAGAACAACCCTTAATAATGAAAATGGCCTATTAGATTATTTTCTTGTAAAAGTAAATACATTGCTTGTTATGTGTTCTTTGCACTTTGTGCATGAAAGTAACACATGAATGTCTTCTTGCCTGTATGCCTACCTCTCTGCCTTCACGATTTAACTCATGAACCACCGGGCAGATTTGGATGAAACTTTGTGTGAAAGTTATGCCATTAGGGCTGCCCTGCAATTGTACTTCTTAGTTTCCTATAATTGGTATGTAAATTAGACGATCTCCTAGTTTTTGTGACTGAAGATGAGATTGGGTTGTCATAGGTGGACCTGATGGGTTGGATGATTGTCCATTGTCCTCGTGACACACGATGTGCTAATGAATTTGCCGGAATGATGTGGAAAATTGGACCGCAGATGGGAATCCAGGTTTCTAAGGCCCGCATCGTAAGTTTGCGAGATGACCGCACTGACTCATATCTGCGCATGTTGCGGGAAAACATAAACCAATCCCTCCAGCTGGTGGTGATTATCTTCCCATCTGCAAGAGATGACAGATATTCAGCTGTGAAGAAGCTCTGCTGCTCTGAGATGCCAATTGCTTCACAGGTAAGTTCTTCACTTGGTCCAGTTGTATCCCACAACACAGAGAAGTTTTTTCATAGTTGTTTGTTGTAAAGGAAAGGCGTGTCATTTTTGTCACAGATTTAAATTTTTTAAGCTTTTATTGAATCTGCATTGCTGTATTTACTTATGTCTCCTTTGCTCAATCGCTGAAGTTCTTAGTAAAGCGTCTGACTTCACTACCAGAAATATGGCAAAATGCAACATTCTCCTACACTCTGAAACCCACACCTTACAACAAGTTCAAGTAAACATTAAGAATATGATGTTACTTCTGTTTTGCGTATGAGAATGTGATAGGCATCTCACAACAAACAATTGTACATCCATGGCAGCAGAAATTTTTAAGGAAAGTCAAGATTCGCTATGCTTCAGGTTCACAATAAACGGACTATGTCCACAGGTGATCAACTCTCGGACACTGTCCAAACCTGACAGACTGCGGTCAGTCGTTCAGAAGATTGCTCTGCAGATCAACTGTAAGCTTGGTGGGACCCTGTGGGCAGTCAAGATTCCTCTGGTAAGGAATTGTACGCAATCATTTGATAAATACTCGATATGTACTTGCCGTAGCTGAGGCTTATGGCTTCTCAGGTTCAGTCCTGGGGCAGTGGCGGACACGAGTCGGCTGGGCACGTTCTGTCCACTGTTTTGCTGCTGCTTCATTCATATCAGCCAGTGTTCCTGATTTGACCAGTCAGTAGAACTATGTTGTGTAATATTTGAAGCTTTTATGGTGAATGAATACAGTCAGCTATGCCATTATGGAAATTCACCCCATACTCACATGACAGATACCAAAGAAGACTTTATTATGGCTATATTGTGTTTGATTTAGTTCTTAAAATCACAGAACTGTGTCAGTGAGAATGGTTACATTCCTGTTGTTTTGATGTCGCTTTGCAGGAAAATTGCATGGTGTGTGGAATTGACTCATATCATGATGCCACCAAGAGAGGAGCCAGTGTTGCTGCCTTTGTATCCTCGCTCAACCAGACTTTGACGCGGTGGTACAGCAAAGTCTGTTTCCAAGGCCCTGGCCAGGAGCTGGTTGATGGGTTAAAAACTTGCCTCATCTCTGCACTCAAGTATTACTATGATGTATGTCTCCTGCCTATCCAAAATGTTAACAAATTGGTTTGCTCCATTTTGGTGTTCTACCTTCTTTTTCTGTTTTAGTGGTGCTTTAATGCATTGTTCCTTGGCTTGCAAGTCCCATTTTTTTAATTAAAGTCTGTTACCTCCTTACGTACGTACTGTTTGTGCGGTAAAAGCTATACAGATAAATTCATGTCATGCTGTAGTGCGTTCCACTCTTACGTGCTATTCTGGCATTATAATTCAGTTCCTTGGAAATTTGGTGGCCTGAAGCAATACGTCAGTCTGTAAATTCTGTGGTTCAAAACCATCCACTTTCATTGTGGGTTTTTCAGAATGCGCTTCCTTTCCTTCATTTTGGCCGAAGAACCTTAAACCAAACAAGTATACACTTTACGTACGGCCAGGGAGGAAATTTTTAGAAAATAAATGTGTTTCCTTGTTCAAATATCACTTTTCCCGCCTTCCTCTCTTTATAATTTTTAAACAGTTATGCTTTTTGAAGTATAACTCGACCCCACAGAATAGCCACTCGTTCAGTTTGTATATTATTATTAATTCTGGTTTAATGCTGCAGCTGAGTCTTCATGATGCTTAAATAGTAAATGCTAATAAGATGAATGATCTCTAAACATAATGAATTTCAGTGAAATTGTTACTAATTGTATGAAAATAATTTGTAATTATCGTTTGTACTGCTTTACTTGAAGCTTGAATCAAACTTGATTAATTTTCTCAAAAATTATTGATCTCAACAAGAAATTTGTATACTAGTATGCATGCATTTTGTCCCTTCTTACATACTACAAACCTGCCACCCATTCTTCCTCTATCACACTCCCCCCATTGCCAACATTTACATTTCCATGTCAAACTTGTCATAATATTTTTGATTCATTATATTGAACGTTCTTAAGTATGCTGTGCCAAAATTATCATTTTGTATATTGTTTACAGTAAACATATCATTGTTTGTATGAAATTATTTCTAAAATATTTGAACCGTGTTGAGCATTTTGCAATGAACTGACGCGCAAATACAATGAGAAATCTGTTGCAGGTGAACCATAGGTTTCCCGACCGAATCGTGGTTTACCGGGATGGAGTGGGCGATGGTCAGCTGAGAATATCTGCAGACTATGAGGTGCCACAGTTTGAAAGCTGCTTTCAGCACATCAGTCCCGATTATCACCCAAAACTGTCGGTCGTGATATGTCAGAAACGAATCAACACTCGCATCTTCTCAGCCCTAGTGAGTTGCAGACCGCAATGTGTCAGGCTTGGCTAGTTACTGATTAGCACCAGAATGAAAGAAAAAGCTTGTGGTCTGTGGAGGTCTCACATTCTGTCTTCTGGCGCCGCGTGCCTTCGGAGTGAGACGTCTTCCAAGTTCTTATATCCAGTGACAGGTTTTAGTATTTGCAGTGATGAACATTTGGATTCTGTTTAAAGTTTAAATGCGTCATGTTTGTGTTTTATAATTAAAATATATAATATAATTCAGGTCTATACACAAACTTTATTTACAGATGTTAAAATTTAAAAATTGCGCTATTCATCGTTACTACGATGTTACAATACTG